ACCACATTTTAAGAAGGGTTCACAGATACTGGAATTGGTTCAAGGGAAAAGGAAATAAGATAATTAAGGGACTAGAAACTAAGTCCTGTAAAAGGAAATTAAAGGAATTGGATATGTTTAAATCAAAGAAATGGTTATTGAAGGAGTGTATGATAGCACTCTTGAACTACTTGAAAGAATGTAGCTGTCAGGCTTCATGCTAGACACAGCATTAGATCTTGACTCTCCAGACACCTAATCCTATATTCAGGAACTGGTTTTTCAGCAGACATTTAACAGACATACCACAACTAGATTAATTTCTTGAGTTCAAGCAAGAATGAAGGCATAGGCACCCAGAAGACCTGCTTACTGAAGCATACAACATTCAGATCCTCTGTATAGATCTGTGCTCCAGTGTTTATAGTCTAGGCATTTTTTTCCTGCCACTCCGAGTCTACAGATATTCAACACTTCTCTTCACAGCCTTGAGACTGGAAGGCAGCTAATCAAAGTTGACGTAAAGTTCTGTCTGTTGGAATTAAATTGCATGGACTGCTTTTCTGAATCTATAAACCTATTGTCCACTAGGGCAACAGATACAGAGATAGATAGCAGGACTCTGCCTTTCTACCTCTAAGTGTCTTCATAATGTACTGTACCTCCTACTGATTAATCTGATATTCTCAGGACTGTCATCACTTCTACTTCATTTCTGGTTCTTCTTGATAACTGAGGCTGGACCATGCCAACATTAAGATAGGTAACAGAACAGGTAAGTAGACTTTCCTATCACATTGTTACTTCCTCAATAGAGATTAGTTTTGTTTTCTTTCATGCAAGCCCCAACCTCCAGGATTCTTATTACAAACATTATTCTTCTAACTTTATTGTGTCTTGCTGTATACATTTATCCCACTGTGTTAAACTACCTATGCCAATGTTTCTCAGGCTTGAAAATTTGAGGCTTGGTGCAACAAATGAAATTACTCATGTATAATAGCTGATGCTATTGGAGACACCCAAAGTTCAGTGTTCTCTTTATCACCCAAAAGAGTTTGGATCTCCAAAATTGTTTCCAATTGGTGATCATTAATGATGCAGTTTCTGACTATACTGAAGCAGAAATACATGAAAATTGCAATGTAAGCCAACATGTTTTTCAGACTTTATTTTTAAATGACAGAGAGCAATTCAGGAATTGCTGAAAGAGGGGAAAAAAGTGGGGGGGGGGAGGAGGATCTCAAAAACTAGCTACAAATCAGCCAGTTGGACATCACTACCTGAGAAAAGTCTAGAGCAGATCATAAAAAGATTCCAAACTGAATATGACTCAGCAGCGTGATGTGGCTGCAAAAAAGGAAACACACAGTTTTGACAGCATCAACAGAAGTAGAGTTTCCAAATCCCATGAAGTAATCATTCTATTTTATTCTGCTTTGATCAGATCTCCTCCTCCTCAGAAATGGTGTCCCACACTTTAAGAAAAAAATCAGAAAAACTGGAGAGTTCAAGGAAGAGCCATATGGATGATCCTAGAAACTAAGACAGAGCTGGGTAAATTCATTCTTGACATATGAAGCCTAAGGGGAGATATGATTGTACTTTCCAAATACCTGAAAGAATATCACACAGAAAAAGGTCAAGATCTGTTCTTGATTGCAGAAAAGGATTTAAATTACAGGAAGGCAGATTCCAACTTAACATTAGGAAAAACTTCCAAACAATAAGAGTAGTTCAACAGTGGAACCAATTATTCTGAGAACTGGTCGATTCCCCTTCACTGGATGGGTTCAAGGAGTGGCTAGGCAGACATCTGTTAGGATGTTTAATTTGGATTTCTGTTCAAAACAGCAGTTGGGCTCCATCATTTAAATGGCCCCTTCTAACTCTGTGGTTCTACAATACTATGGATCCAAGTTTGAGAAAAAGGACCACAAGTAAAGACATAAAATGAGAATACTGACCTCTGATCTTTATTCAGAGACCACATTATTATTTCAGTATTTTCTATATTATTGGATACAATGACTAATTATTATATAGAGGGAACGATCCACAGGGATATGTTTCCTCCAGAGGTCAGTGTTTGTATTAAATGCACAGTGTAATTTCTGAGCTTAGAAGCTCCATTCTAAAGAAGAAAGAAGCAGCTGAAATGTTATTACAGGTGATAGAAGTTTATTTTAATAGGGTTCATTAATCAAATCCTATTAAAGGAAATGAAGATGAGAATTATGCATAGGAGTAATATTTGTAAGGCTCTGATGCAGGGATTCCATCTCAATGAATTTAATCTGAACGTGCCCAGGATTGCACTACAAATTAGTACATTTTGGGAGGTAAAATTACTACATTTCATAAGTTTATTAAGATCTCTCTGGATTCCATTATGTGGGGAAAAAAAACTTTCCAAGAGATTGTTTGCTTTGTTTTGGGGGAAAATTCCATTGCTCAGCTTATCATGGATCTGTTGTTCATTAAGAGTGCAGAGCTTAATAAAAGTAAAGTATCTTAGGTTAAACTACTCTGTTTGTACTCCTTCAGCATTATTATTCAGGGAACAATTAAACTTATTGGTTCTCTGATTTTAAGCATTTTACATGTAAGTCCTTTGAATTACATGAATTCTTCTTCTGAGTCAGTGCTGATACATCAGAAGCTGCATAACTCATCCTGCTTGCCTGAAAGATCATGATGCAGAATGAAGAATTTGTGGGAGGAAAAAGAGCAATATGTTCATTGAGTTCCTAAAAACCAGTATTCTGAATTATGATGATGATGGGATATGGTGAGTGTAAGAAGATATAATGTGTATGCTCATTATATCTGGCAATCGTGTGTTTTATAAGATTGTTCAGTGGTTATGGCCAAAAGCAAATGTTGCTAATTGTTTAGAACTTAAAAGGTATCCCCTGATTTTCTAGATCAGCTCTAATCAGATCATTTATACTGAACATTTGAATTAAAAAAAGATGATCTGGAGGCAGAAGAGGAGGAATTCATAAAATACCTAATATTTATTATGGTTAAAAAAATTATGCAACTTTCTCCAATTTTAGTCTAAAAGACAAAAGGAAACAAGTGTGGGTAGAGAAGAGGAAAACATACAAATCTGGTGTGCATAATCCTTCAGGTGAAATAGATGGTGTTAGAAGATCTTCCTTGCATAGGAAGAGTTCAGGGACCTTGATCCTGTAACCGTGGCATTTGTGAGTGAGGAAGTGACTAAGGCCCAGATTTGCAACAATGGACTGTGCTCACATAGTTCCCTACAATAGTTTTTCACAGCAGATTCATCTGGGACAGAAGGACAGGAACAAAGGTGAATGGAGTAGAATTTCTTTATAAGTGATTAACAGTAAAGACATCCCTTGTCCATTTCGGTGAGGGACTTTGCAGCCCAACCTGGTCAGAACAATGTTTTTGTACTTCTGAGTGGAGAATGTTGATTGTCTCAGAGAGAGAGAGAGAGAGAGAGAAACTTACAGTACAACCTTTTCTCACTTAGGCTGGATTGGATCCAGAAGAGTAAGACATGTACAGAAGCCAAATTCCCACAAACTGCATTTGATATTAGGATGTGAACATAGCAAAATCACCTTGTATAATCTCAGCATTCCCCATCCTCTCAATGTATTGCATTACTACAAACGGTTTATAGGAGTTCTAATCTAACACATAGGGAATATGCCAGCTTGGAGAAAGCTGCAAACAGCTCCCCCATTGATGACGTTTCATTTTACAAAATGCTTTTACAATCCTTAGGTCATTCTATCATCACAATGATTCTGTAGAATGCTTGGGACAAAAAAGAATTTGCCAAAGATCTTGTGCTTGAGATCAGAGGCAAGTGACCACAAAGACCAACACCAGCCTGCCTAATAGATCCCATTAGGTTTAATCCACACCAATCACACAAGAAGTTATTCTACTTTCTGTTGTGCACTGCTTAGATGCTATGAATTGGGGTAGGATATAAATATTGTAAAATAAACAAATAGATAGCTAGAGGGGATCCTTCTATGTAAGCCTGTTGTAATAAATGATCTGATATGGTATGGTATTCATTTCTTTTATTAAACAATTTTGCCCATGATAGCTTATGCAACAATAACTTCATTAACATTATTAAAACATCGTAATTTTAATACTATTAATTCTCATATTATTAATAATAATATAATTAACTGTATTATTAAAATAAACTAATGTTTCTAAAAACAAAGTCAAATAGATAGGAGAACATAAATTCATCATATTAGCAGAGGGGAGGAAACAATAAACTCCATAGCCTCATCGACTGTAAACAAATGCAATAACTTCTTGTAGCATTTTATTCCATATTTAAAGGTAATTGCAGTAATGGAGATATAGGAGGTGAGGGGGGACAATTTTATGGCATAATTTCTCTTCTCTTGCCAAGCCCATTTGAAATCTATTTATTTATTTATGATGCAAATTAAATTCTAAGTTCTACATTTCCATAACTTTAAGTCCTTTTTCTTCAAAGATTTCTCTAAGTCACACACAGACATCTTCTTATCAACAAACTTATTCCAAGTTATCTATTACAGTTTGAAGAAAAGGTGGTACGCACCCCAATAAAGTAACAGCACAGCATAGCAAACCATATACCTGATATTCAAAGAAACAGCTCGTCCTTATTTTTGCCTTACTAAACCTCCAGAAGATATGAAAATTCACTTAACTCTTTGACATGTCTAACATACAATAAATGTGGGATATTGTAGCTACAGAAGTCTTTGGCTGACTTTGTTCCATCTATGTTCTATCAATACGTTCCATGTTCGATGTTCTATACTATATTCCATCTCCCAGCCTTTTCACTTGAGAAAATGTGGTTTACTCCAACTGTTTCTTTTTAGCATGTAACTTCTGCAAAACGGTAGTGAGAGCAATGTTCTTTTCTTCTAGTTGATTGTGATTGTGATTGAATTCCCTTCCTCCTGCACATTCACTGTCTTTCATTTCCCCAGATGAACCCCAGGCTGGATCCAATGACAATCAATGATAATCAGAGCCTTGGACAAGTTGTGACAGAATTCATTCTGTTAGGATTTCCTCGGGTCCAGGTGTTAGAAGTCTTCCTTTTTGCAGTCATCTCTGTTATTTTCACTCTCACCCTCTTAGGGAATCTGACTATCATCAGTGTGGTAGTAATTGATGCTCATCTTCACACACCCATGTACTTTTTTCTGGGGAATCTTTCCCTTCTGGAAATATTCTTCACCTCAGCCATCGTGCCCAAGATGTTGACTAACTTGCTGTCTAGGAAGAAGACGATCTCATTTTCAGCTTGCATTGCTCAGTGCCATTTCTACTTTTTCCTGGGCTCCACTGAGTTGCTCCTTCTGAGTGTGATGTCCATTGATCGCTATGTTGCTATCTGTAACCCATTGCGCTATCCCATCATAATGAACAGTCGTGTTTGCATCTCTCTGGTGCTTGGCTGTTGGGTGGGTGGCTTTTTGCACATCCTGTGGCCAACAGTAGTGATATCTCAGCTCCCTTTCTGTGGCCCAAATGTAATCAATCACTTCTTTTGTGACAGCACCCCACTCTTGAAGCTTTCTTGCTCTGATACACAGCTCATTGAACTGGTTGATGTGCTTCTCGCTTCCTTTATGCTCGTGGGCACTCTGCTGCTCATCACAATTTCTTACATTTACATTATCTCCACTGTGCTTAGGATCCCATCAGCCACTGGGAGGCAGAAGGCCTTTTCTACCTGTGCTTCACACATCACTGTGGTGACAATCTATTATGGCAGCTCCATTTTTATGTATGCCCAGCCAGCCCAGAGCTCCTCTCTAGAGTTCAACAAAGTGGTGGCCGTTCTGACAGCTGTAGTGACACCACTTCTGAATCCCCTTATTTACAGCCTGAGAAATGAAAAGGTGCGGGAAGCCCTGAAAGAAATGGTAAAGAGAAAACATGCTTCCCAGAGAAGAATAGAATCTTTGATATAATTCCCTGTCTTCCTTGCAAACACTTTGCAAATCCGCCCTGATCGATAAAGAGTTCTGTCATGGGTTACCTGAATTAGCTGCCCCGTGTGGAAGAGACATGACCTCCATAATGAACCAGAGACTGTGCTAATGCTCGGGCATTGTTTTAATCTCCTTTTTTCTGATGATATGCTGATGAAGCCAATGAACTTCAAAGCCAGATTACTGTAATACTTGAAGCCTATGCTGATAGTCCAAGAGAACTGCTCTTGTTGAATCATAACAAGAAACCTGTATTAAAGAATAAAATGAGCTCAGTTGATGGAAAACAAGGTGATCTTTTGATTTAAAAAAGGAATGGAGAATTTAAAAGAAAATAAAGAAAAAGAGAACTTAGGAGGGTTTTTTCCCCTTCTGTTATAGGCTCTTTTGTGGAAGACATTCTTTGTGTGTCGTTTTCTTTCTTATAGATTTGCTTTTTACGTTTGCATTGTTAATACCTTTTTAAATAACATTTAAATTGTTTTTAAAAGGGACTCACACATTTGAACAGCATCTGACTCATTCCTCTGGAGCAAAGCTTCTGAAAGAACACTTGTCATTCTGCGTAGTATACAATAAAGCTGCACAGTTTCAGACACTGACAGATCAATTAAATTGGGTTCAGAACAAATTCTCTTCAGGGTAATTCAGAACCCTGGCTCCTTTTTCATTGTCAACACTAGTGCAAGTATTGTCTCTCACCCTGTCATGGCTCTAGTGAAGTCAGAGAAGGGCCCCAAGGAAGCTTTCTTAACTTCCTCAGAGAAAGGTAGAATCTACATGGGATAGATATGGTCCTACATTTGTTCACTGCTTGGGTTCTGTCTGTCATTCTACCTGGCGAGATGGATGGATTGTAGATTGGACAAAAGGACCATCATTTTCTCTGAAAAGCTTGCCATTCAAAAATTATATCTCTCTGAATTTTGATGTGTCTACATTTCTGAACATAAATGGGTCCTACATCCATTATCAGCAGCCCTGCTATGAGTCATATGAGGTTGGACAGTCATTAAGGCACATATGTCACATTCAAATGGTGGAAGAGCCACAAATCCCTGCATCAGGAGTGTGCTTTTCTGGAGGGGCATAAAGAAATCCCAGGGGGCATGAAGATGTTGGGCTGTAAGAAAAAATGTCAGGGGAAAAAAGCAGTAAAAAGAGCCGGTTTGGTGAAGTGGTGAAGGCACCAGGCTAGAAACCAGGAGATGGTGAGTTCTAGTCCCACTTTAGGCATGAAAGCCAGGTGGGGGACTTTGGGCCAGTCCCTCTCTCTCAGCCCAACTCACCTCACAGGGTTGTTGTTGTGCAGAAAAGAGGAGGAGGAAGTAGTATTAGGGTCGCCACCTTGAGTTATTTATAAAAATAATAAAGGTGGGATTTAAAAAATCTTTTAAAAAATTACTGGCAAAGATTTAAGAGGTGAAGAACAGTAAAGGTGGCCAGGCCAGTGGGAGGGAATAAAGCACAATCAAGATTGGGTCTGTGTGATAGGAAGATTGAAGGTGGAGAGTAGGCACTGTGAAAACTGGCAAGTATGTAGCAGGAAGATTACCAGGTGGATGGACTGGTGGGAAAGAGGAGAGAAGGCATTGTGAAGGTTTACACGTACACCTTGAGGAAATTGGGGAATAGGAAGGCTGATGGAAAGGAAAGAAAGAAGATGTGATGCTCAGAAAATTCAGAATCATTGCATAGAAGAACAGTTCTTAAACTGTTCTTAAACTGTGAGTATCCCCAAGGAGGTAATTTCGGCATATCCAGAGGGTAATGAAGCAATTTATGATTACTTGTTTGTGAGTCAAGGATCCAGTTTGGATCCTCTGCCAAGATGCTTGTGTAAAAGAACAGAGTCTGGGATTTTTCAGGGGAGGAGGATGTAATGACATTATTCAAAATTGGGGAAAGGGGTAATTGGGTCAAACCATGTAATAACCACTGATAGAGAAGGTCCTCATGGGTCATATTTTTTCTCCACAAATACCAACAATGTTGGTGGACTAGTCAGCAGTAGGAAAAAGTTGTTCACTTCTAAAAGCCATCTTCCCTTCCACGGTATGCCCACCAGAATTCTTTCTCCAGCCCTTTCATCACCAAAGCCCCACTGAGGCTTTACAGAAAAGGGTTCCACTTCTCACTCAACAGTGGTCATCATCCCATTCCTTCAAGTTCTCATGGTGTACAAAGAAAGATGCCTGCATGGCTACCTGCACAGTGGAGGCTTTGTATGTACAACTGTAAGACAATCATGCTGAACATACTAACATCCAATGCGCTTTTGGGATGAGCTTCTATTTATGAAAGTACCACAGTCTCCTACAGCTCAAGAAAAATATTTTTTGGAGCAGAGATGGGCAACTGGCAACTATGGGCATCTATGGGAATTTTTCTGGAAGGTGCGAGAAGAACTGCAATGGAGGATGTGGATGCAACACACACACACAAACAACACACACTGTAACATTGTACCTGCTTATTTTTCCAGTATGGGTACAATTGGATATTTTTTTATAACACTAACTTTTTCCTTAAATTTGACAATTTGACATGATTTGTCAGGAAAAGGTCCCATGTTCTTGAATAGGAACATGGGAAGCTGGGTTATATTGAGCCAGACCACAGGCTTATCAAACTCAGCCTTTTTATACTGGCTGGCAGCTGCTCTTGAGTTACAAACTGGAGTCTTTCCCGGCCCTAACTGGAGAAGCCAGGAATTATATACTGTATGGGATATTCTCCATGTTAAGAAGAGGAGAAAGTAAGTTTGGTTCTTGCTTTACTTTAACATTATTCATCAGGCATTTCTTTCTATCAGCTAACACCGTACAATGCATTACATAATATTATACTGCACCAATGCTCTTGGATCTCCAAGTATCTTTTATGGGGCTGCAAAATTTTGTGTGTAGGTGCATATTTCATTATCATTCTCATCATCATCATCAACATCATCATCATCATCTTGGTTGGATTCCATCAGAGAACAGGACTACAATTTTGAATAATTCTGGTGATGCAACTCAGCCCAGGCAGAAAAATCTAGCCAGATAGTCCTGACCTTGAGATACTGGTATTCTGAGTTTACTCCTTTTTTCAACTGATAAAGCTGGAATTCAGACAATTTATTGCTATCTGGGGCTAAAATCTGCTGAAATTGAGCCAAGCTGTTCAAGCCCAAACACAGTATTTGATAATAGTCATGAAGTGGATGGGGGAAGGGGGGAAACATTAGGCTTATTATAGATTAAACAACAAAACAGACAGCTTTTTAAAAAAATGAATGTAAGAATATACAAAGAATCAAACTGAATCAAATCAAATTTTTATTACAGTCATAGACTAGCATAAGAATCAAACTGAACATCTGCTCCAGCATTTTATGAATGTAGAAAGTTCACAAACATAAATAAGATCTTAGATGCAGAGGTCTTTGACAATTTGAACTGGGCTTTCTTGTTCCAAGTTTTGGAAGATATGAACTTTGGAGAGAACTTTATAAAATGGGTAACATCA